GAATCCAAGTTGGACGTGGTCCAGCAGGGGAACTTTCGCATCGTGGCAGTGGTTGGTCTCTTTGACAAAGGGAAGACATGGCTCTTGAACAAGCTCTTCGATGTGAACTTGCCCTCTGGAAAGCTTCACACCACCAAAGGCTTGAGCTTCCTTTGGGTGGAGGACCGCCGGATGCTGATCATTGACTCTGCCGGTGTGCAATCCCCGGTCTCCTACCGTGCGCAGGCAGTCGATGCGATTTGGGATGCGCGCAACACCGAGATGCTGGTCCTGGAAATGATCTCTCGCATCGCTCATCACATGATCTTCGTGGTAAGTGACACTACTTGGTTCGAGCAGCAGAAAGTCGCCGAATTGCACCAGAAGTACGTGCAGCGCCGGCAGCACAACGAGCTGATTGTTGTTCACAACTTGAGCACAACCTCCCAAGTGGAAGTTGCACGTGCCCTTTTTGAGCGGCAGGTCACACGGTGCTATGATGGTGTTCCGTCGCACTTGGGCGACTTGATCTTCACGGCGGATGCTGGCGAAGGGACACCTCCGGTACACCATATTGGGCTGTGCCAGGAGTATTCAGCAGCCGGGGACAAGTTCAATGGCAAGAACAGGGAGTACCTCTTGCAGAGCCTGGAGCATGGAAGCATCCTGGGTTCGCATTTAGCCCTTGCAGACGCCTTCTGCGCAGAGTTGTCCAAGCTGATGCCGAAGTTCGCCAGCATCGAGGCAGGCGGGCCTGAAGTGGCCGCCGACACGACGGATGCATCGACGCAAGCGATCTCTGTGAAGTTCTGCACAAGAGCCCAGGCGACAGAGCGGGAGACTGGGATGGCCGGCTACATGCACGTGGGCTCCATGATGTTGCATTCATTGCCCGGCGATGCCAAGGTCGTGATGAAGACGAGGGGCGTCATTTCGGACTTGGGGGAGATCACTTCGCACGATGTCAGCTTCCGCCCAATCACGAATGTCTTTGACCGTAAGATGGACTCGGACAAAATGCGTTACATTCGTATCGAATGCCCGGGAGTCACGGATGACGACCTCGACTTCCAACTTCTCGCCAATGGGGTCAAGATCATGAT